GTAGTTAGCGAAAATTTCCCGTCATGACTGATCAGGGGAGTAAACGTGACTCCTAGAATGCCTTTTTTTGCATGGAGGCTGCATGGAACCCATTCTTGGGTGTTATCTGTTTAAGGAGAATGTGGAGCTACGAAACTTAATGCTCCTATGGTGTCCATATGCTCATCGCCTTTGCTCTTTTGTTTTCAGCCTTCTAGGCCTGAGTTGGGCAGTAGCTGCCAGTGGTTGGGAGGAGCTTTAGGCGCTAACAAAGTGATAGGAAGCTCTATGGCTTATTCATTTGGCTACTTTATGGGTAATTTCAGAATAGAGAAACAGGAGAGCTTTTGAAGGAACAAAGTTTTCTTTTGACTGAAAATATTCTTGGTTGGAGGTCCTTAGTTTTTTATCAAGGGCCACCTGCTATTCTGACAAGGACTTGAGGGACTTAATTTATATTTTGGTTGAGCTGTAAGTAATTTTGTATACGAGTTGCTCCCTCTTGGTGCCCTTTTATACATATATTTCACTTCTATCTTCCTAGAAAAAGCACTTGGATTCAGCAAGTGTTGCAACACTTTTGATATATGTCGATGACATAATGTGATGGATAATGATTAAAAAAAAAGAGAAGGAAGCCTTGAGAGTAAGAAAATTTGAGAAAAAAGAACTTGGAGATTAATGTACTTTCTAGAAATTCAAGTAGCTCATTCTAGGGAAGGCATCTTTATTTCACAACAAGAATATGTGTTCGATCTTCTAAGGGCGATAGGAAAGTTAGCTGTAGATCTGTTTTGAAACCAATTGAGAAAAATCACAAGCTGATAAAGACAAATGAGGATCCAACTGTAGATAGAGAAATGTATCAGATCCTGGTAGAAATGTTTATATATCTTGCCCATACAAGGCTGGATGTTACATATGCCGTGAAGATAGTTTACCAATTTATGCACAGCATGAGAGAGGTTCACCTTCATGCAATTTGTAGGATAATATATTATCTAATGGCCATCCTGACAAATGAGATCTATTCAAAAAGAACATTGGATTAGCTGTTGAAGCATACATTTTCATAGATTATGTAGGCTCACCAATTGATATGCAGCCTACTATGTGTTATCATAATTTCCTTGTAGGCAATCTTATGACTTGAAGGAGTAAAAAGCAATCTTGTGACTTGAAGGAGTAAAAAGCTGAATATGGTTTGCTAGATCAAGTGCAGAGGCAGACATTGGGTGCCCGATGGCACGGTGAGTGTGGTTATTATGGCTGAAGATAATTTTTGAAGATTTATGGATTAAATGGGAAAAAACCAATGAGATTATTGTGCAACAAGTCTATCATTAACACTTCTCACAATTCTGTGCAGTATGACAGAACAAAGTATATTGAAGTAAATACAAACTTCATAAAGGAGAAGTTAGATATAGATTAGCTTGTACTCCATTGAACAATCCCTTTGAATCTTATATAAATATTCATCAATAATGTGATTATCCCAAGTAATTTTATATGCTTTAAGTTTATATTGTGCTGACTCAAGTAGATGGAGTGCCACCATGAATTTATTTAGAATCTGATAGTGGTTAGGGATGGGTGGCAGTAGCTTCACTGAAGGCTAGTACATTGTTTTCCTACAATCACTTTCAGAACAAAAGTCTTTTATCTCACCAATTCTTGAGAGTTACTTAAAAAGGACTCATTAACTTGTATTGCCAAATGAGATCTGACTTTTTGGAGAAATGTAATTCACTATACTCAAATAACAAGTCGTTTTTATTACTGATTGATGCTTCCAGCTTGAAATTTAATTGTTCTGCACATAGACAAAACAGATAAGCTTTATGTTTTCATATTTCCCAAATCTTATACTTGCAGGTAGCAGTACAACTGGAGCTATTGCTGGGGGAGTTGCCGCAGGTGCTGCATTGCTGTTTGCTGCCCCTGCTATTGCTCTTGCTTGGTGGCGAAGAAGGAAACCGCAAGATCATTTCTTTGATGTACCTGGTTAGTGAAATATCTAAAGGTGGTTTAAATCAAGGATCATTTTTCAATATGGGATCCTTTTCATTATGTTACATTTATATGCAGCTGAAGAGGACCCAGAAGTTCATTTGGGGCAACTCAAGAGGTTTTCTCTGCGTGAACTGCAAGTTGCAACAGATAATTTTAGCAACAGAAATATTCTGGGTAGAGGTGGATTCGGCAAGGTTTACAAAGGACGCCTAGCTGATGGTTCTCTGGTTGCAGTGAAAAGATTGAAAGAGGAGCGTACTCAAGGTGGAGAGCTGCAGTTCCAAACAGAGGTAGAAATGATCAGCATGGCAGTTCATCGGAATCTGCTTCGTCTACGTGGCTTTTGCATGACCCCTACAGAGCGGTTGCTAGTCTACCCCTTTATGGTTAATGGAAGTGTAGCATCATGTTTAAGAGGTATTGCAATATTACCATCTCAATTGCAATTTATGTTTCTTATTTATTTTACAAGATAACACACTCCGACTTATGGGATTTCATTTGCAAATTATTTTTCTTATTTATTTTAAAACATAACGTAGGTCTGCCATATGGTACTTCATTTGTTTTTTTTTCTTCTGTTGGAGAAGACATGGTGTTTTATTTGTTTGATCAGTGAATATTTATTACAATAAGCCAGATTTTGATAGAACTTGTGAACCTGGAATTCAGTGTGAACGAATATGGTAAATTTCATTAAACATCAAAAGTTAATTTTGAGATCCCTCTTGCACTTGTGAAAGTGCAGCTTGTCTGATGGTCTTTTTGATGCATAATATAGAACATCCAGAATCACAACCACCGCTCAGTTGGCCAATACGGAAGCGAATTGCATTGGGATCTGCAAGGGGGCTTGCGTATTTGCATGATCATTGTGACCCAAAGATTATTCATCGTGATGTGAAAGCTGCAAACATATTGTTAGATGAAGAATTTGAAGCTGTTGTTGGAGATTTCGGGCTTGCTAAACTCATGGACTACAAAGACACCCATGTAACCACAGCAGTACGTGGAACAATTGGTCATATAGCTCCTGAGTACCTCTCAACTGGAAAATCATCTGAGAAAACTGATGTTTTTGGGTATGGGGTCATGCTTCTTGAACTGATCACGGGACAGAGGGCTTTTGATCTTGCTCGGCTTGCTAATGATGATGATGTGATGTTGCTTGATTGGGTGGGTATTGAATGTTACCTGATCATTGTTTTGTCTTTTGATAATTTCTTACCATTTATTTGAAGGCTTGTTTTCTTCTGTAGTTTTTTTTTTTAAATTTTGGCCTATATTGAAGTGTGCATTATGTGTAAAAAATACACCTTAAGATTATGTAGTATTTTAAATGGTGTATGGTACAAGATCAGTTGGTCAAATTTCTAGAAGTATTCCCCATTAATATGTGAACTGATTTGAACTAAATTTTCAACCTGTGTGGTAGCTTTGCATATTAGCATTTCTTTAGGGTTAGTTGGGAGTTACTGTAAAAAAATGTTTTTTCATAACTACATTAGATTTCTTGTGCATTTAAAAACCTGGCTTCATTTTTCTTTTAATATTTTTCATTTCTCTTTCGGGCATTCCTTATGAAGATTACTTTCGAATTTCAGGTAAAAGGACTACTGAAAGATAAGAAATTGGAAACACTAGTTGATCATGATCTGCAAGGTAATTATGATGAACATGAGGTGGAGCAACTCATCCAAGTGGCTCTGTTGTGTACTCAAGGCTCTCCGATGGAACGACCCAAGATGTCAGAGGTGGTCAGAATGCTGGAAGGTGCCGGGTTGGCCGAAAGATGGGAA